CATCAAAGAACAACAGTACTGCTAACTCGATCTTTTGCTTCCCAATACTTCAGGTTATATTACCAATTCTGAGATAACATTGCTAAATTGTATTATTAAAGTAAATACAGTACATGCAAAACATTTACATTCAGACATGAAAAATATAGATGGATAATGCATATGTACCAGTTATGCGTACGATATAAAATGAGAACACACAAATTGAGCTAAGCTTGAATTCAATTTTTTTTGCAGGAATCTGCTTGAAAAGGCTAAATGTTTGGGATTAATTAAAGGCTGCCAGATAATTGTTTGATGTGTTTGCATCGAATAGAATGATGGTCAGTAGGATTATCATCAAAATTCATTATAGATAGTTACCCAAAACGATTTTGAGCAAGATCGGTGCTGCAACAAGAGACTTTTGATAAAACATTATCCTTTTCTGTCCATCCGACATGCTCCAGACAACTTTGCAGGAGGGACACTCCATGCGGATGAATAGCAAGTGCTAAGCAGTTCGTAGCAACAGCATCAAAAATAAACTGCCAATATAATGCAAAATGTCAACACATGGGGCATGGAAATAAGAGGAAGTAACATAAACTGAAAGTAAGCACGACAGGCAAGACAAAATTTTGATATGGCTTCATTCTCGGTTCTTGCAATAACATATGAGAGATGACTTACAAACTGTGAAAAGATGTAGCGTCAATGAATACATTTTGAAGCAAAGATAAAATGGTAAGCAACTGTTCAGCAAAACACATTGACAATATTTATCCAAAATATTATTTAACTATAACTTCATACATCTAAATTAATGTCCAGACACCTTGCCTGGAACCACTTTATCCCTTTGAGATCAACATGGGACCTATGTACGTGAGAACAAAATACAAGGGCATGCTTGATTCCCTTGTCAGTGCAAAACGAAAATGGCCACCTAAAATTTCCTATCAAAGATATGTATTTGTATTGGTCAGAATCTTGCTGTACTAAAAGCTGCTTCTCATGGCCATGGTCAAGAGCCAAATTTGACTACCCAATGTGGGCAAGGTTTGATTTTCTGTGATGTTGTGGTCTGCCTGAATATATAGTGCTTAGTCATTGTTTTACAGTACTCAATTTAACCTTTCAAGGTAAAGAACAAAATACATTACCTTACTAATCTTATTTCCTTGAGCATTGCTCATGTGGGTTAGTTTTTCCTTGCTTAACAAAGCAAGGTGATCAAGAGATCTAAACATGCCCCCACTATTACAATAGAGTTACTGGACTATGCCCATCTACATGAATCACACAAGCACTATTTGTACTAATAGGATTGCTACATTTGGGTAAAAGGGAACTGTTTATTGAAGTTGGTAGCCAGTACACAATTAATTTTCCAAATAAAAATCTACTAAATTAGCATGACTGCAAGTGTGTGTAACACACTCCTGTGCTTACCTACTCTTGAAAATGGTATATACATCATCTTGGGAAATCTACAGCTGGTTAATAATGCAATGTTTCGTCATTTGTGCACAGACAAGAAAAGAAACTTCACATATTCTGGTGGATACACACATTGGTTAATTATAAACACAATGCAATGGCAAATCCATTTCTTAGTTGTATTATTGCTCTGGATTGAGTAGCTTTATAAGCAACAACGAAATCATGCAAAAATGTTACTACCACAACACAATAATCACACATTGGTATCTATTCACACATTGGTATCTATATCTGCGCCAGTTAGAATCTGGATGGGGAATAAATTCAAAGTACCTCAGCAAAGTATGGATGAGGAACACACTGCACCAAGGCATGCACCACCATGAGTCTACTCGAATCCGTTACAAGGCGAGCCATCATAAACGGAGTCACCCATGGCACGATTGCATCTCTCAGAAGCTCCAGTGATTTCTCGGATATGCAGGAATTGATCATGCTCACCACCTCACCTGACCTGAAAGATATCAAACAAACTTCATATTTAACATCCTCTGCAGCGAACCGGCAAGACCAGAAACAACAAGCCAAAGGGGAAACGCGAGTGTTATATGCACATGCCTCGCAGCACAAATCTTGAAAAACTTCTTGTGGTCTCGAGTGATTCTAGCGACGATCGCTTCCTGGAGCATATGGTTGCAGCGGCTGAGGACGACAACGAGCAGGCGGGTCCCGTGGCTGCTCTCGATGAGAGGGACGGCGTGCTGGACTATCACCGCTGCCACGGCGTCCGCGTCCTCGGGGGCTCCCCAGAACAGCATGTTGAGCACCGTTTGCTCGTTCTTGGCGAGAAACAGGACGATGTCCTCGACCAGCTGTGTGCTGGCGGCGCGCCCAGGAAACGCCCTTGCGCGGGCGTACGCGTCGCCAGACCAGGTGGCGCGCGGCGGCACGGATCCCGCGGCGCGGAAGTTCTGGTGGACAGGGGCGCGACCGCGGCCGAGATGATCGCCCGGGAAGTGCCATTCGTCGAGCACCCTACGGCCGCCGGGTACCCCCGTCGGCGGCGGCGGCACCGGGCCGGCCTCCTGCACCACGAGCGACAGAACCCTCGTCACGGATAAGGGAGGCCGGTACAGGCCCCCCTGCTGCCCAGGGCGCTCAGGAACCGCCGGAAGTGGGAGGAGGCCGTCCGCCGCGGCCGCGTCCTCCTGGCGCCGCCCCTGGGCCTCAACCTCGGTCTCGCGGATGCCGAGCCGCCCCACCTCCCTCGCGATGTCCTGGAACAGTAGCCCGTCCTCCTCGGACAGGCGCCTCTCCTCCTCCGCCGCCGCCGGCGCCAGCCGCAGCTCCAAAGCCATCCGGAAACCACGCGCCCTGGAGCACGGGCGAGGGGAAAGCTCGCGGCTTTGAGGGTGGATGGAAGTGGGGATTGGAGGGATCGGACTGGGGATCGCCTTCCTTTAATTTCACAGGAATTTTTTTTATTCCCCCGGATTGTTTCCTTGGGGACGAAGATGGGAGGAAGGAGGGAGAGAAAGCCGCGGGCGGGTTTTGTACATCGGGATGCGTGGGGTTTAGTCGGTTCGTTCAGTTCGTTAACGGCGTCGCAAAAACGCAAGCGCAAGAGCCCGGCGTGCAAGTGCGCGTGCGCGGGCTGCTTACATGTGGGGCCTCGTGGACGTGCGAGTGGGACGATGCCTGTTCTTGAGGGCGGCGGCGTGCGAGGTAAGATTTCGGGCGTGCGAGGGAGGGTGCCATGGGTTGTTTTGCTGGTATAAGATTGGTGGGATATTTTTCTCTTTTCTTTTCTGTTACAATCATGTTTAAGGTTTAGACCAGCGCTGTTTAATCTCGTCGCCATGCAGATTTTTAGGGCGTTTCTGAACCGATTACACGTGTGCTAAGTGTACTACACATATGCAATGCTAACCCCTATTTTTCCTTGAAAAATGCAAAGTACATAAATGTACTACCCTGAAGCGAAGATATGCTGATTATTTAGTCCGTGCTTGGATTTTCGGAGACTGGTATATTTCTTCACGCAAAGTTGAAAAATTTAAGATCTCGTTTGAAACATGTTGATTTGACCGTATCTCTGCGCTAAATCATTCAATTATACCTCGGATTGGAAACGGCATTTAACTACAATCATTGCCATTAAATGTGGTGACGGTGGCTCGTTCACATTTTCTAAGGGATGTGCCATGGCACGACAGACTTGGCATGACACATGTGTGGTCAATTGCACGTCAACCATGCACATCTTTGAGGACGGTAACATGTCACAAATATTGCATATTTAGCTGTTGCTCTGACTACTAGAGAATGCATGCAAGAAAAAATGGACAAATAATTTCATTCATGTCACAAATACTTCCCCTTTGTCAAAAAAATAATTGAACGTAGATGTGAAGAGAGATGACACCGAGGAGGGAAAATGGCGGCTATGAAAAAGCTTCCTAAGTAGAAAAACAATGTTGCTCTTCGATGGTGTATCGCGCCTGTGGTGAGCCAACACACGCTTGAGTACGGTAGGTGGGGTTGTTGTGACACAATTTTCTTCGTCGCATGTCTGGGAGTGCACAGGGGCACGCAGGTGGGAGGCGTGTTGGGGCCGTGCTGTCGGGAAAGGGATGGAGCATACACACACGTGTGCGCTGCCAAAGCTCGCCTTGCTAGAGCCGCGTTGTCGGGTTGGGCGTAGGGCCAACCAGTGTGTGCACGACAACAACTCGCGTGTTAAAGCTGCGCTGCCGAGTTAGGGGGTAGGGCCAAGCTGGTGTGTGCACGACAGCAATTGGCATGTTAGAGTTGTGTCGTTGGGCCAGGGAATGGAGCCCAAGCAGGCGCATGCTCTGCAGCTGGCATGGTGAAGCACCATGTAGGGGACAGGCCCATGCAGGGGCATGCACTGCAACGGTTGGCGTGTTGGAGTCGCGTTGCTAGGCCACGAGTTTGGGCCCACACAGGCGCATGCGCTGCAACACTTGGCGTGCTATCGAACCTGGGGTAGGGCCCACGCAGGCGTGTGCGCTATTCTGGAGCCATGTTGTCGAGCAAGGTTGGGCCGGACATACATGGAGGTTTTTAGTTGTTCCTGTGCAAATTTCCAAATTCCCATAATTTCACCTTTTATTGGAAAAATAATCAATTTTTCATAAGTGCACACTTAGGAAGTTGAAATTTCCAAGAGGTCCCCTTTTGAAAAAAGGTTGGCGTGAAAGTGATCATGTCGGCCAGGATGGCTACACACTAGTTAGGTTTGCCAAGCATAAACGGGTTTGAGAGAGAAACATAGACTAGAGCAAAGGTGATCAAACTTGTTACATTTTTCTAAATATCATAGGGATATGGTTCCATAGGCAACTTTTCAAAGTTTTAAATATAAAATGAGGGTTGCTTACATGCTTGTAGACCATGGGGGAGCACCTTTCAAGTCTATGAGCGCTAGAGCACCTACTTTTGTGTCCCTAGTTAAGATTGTTTTCATGTTTGAAGAGGACAATATAACCTATCATATGTGTCAAATGTATCAAATCTCTTGGATCCATATGACAAACAACATGTATGTAAGAAAACGGAATTGAGTTCATATGCATTTGGTGACCATAGCAACATTTGTAGCCAAGAAAAGAGAAATATTATCCATAGGAAACTATCTCAGTTTCCCCGACTTCCTACGAAGAGACTTCAGTCCTATGTCTTCCTAGCACATTGTTGCTTTTATTTCATCCCTTTGACACTTTTTCGGACTCTAACAACCCAATATACAAGCCTACAAAAGCCCTAGTCCCCAGTCTCCTTAGCAAAGTCCTTGAAAAACTCTCATTCGAGTTTGGATACGTTGTTGCAAGTACCTATTGTTCTATTGCTGGTAGAATTTGCAAGTCCTCTAAAGTGTTTTTTAGCTATGACGAAATACAATTTATGATCATGCCTGGAATGAGGGATTAAAGGATATCATGTTTGTAATCTGTCGACAAAGCATACTGAGTACTGAATGATGACTTATGATATTTGATCGTCAATCGTATAGTGTTGTTCATAATGATGCGTCACTCTGCCATACTTGAAGTTCTTCATGATAATACCATGTCATGGATTTTGTTGCAGGCACAAGTGTGTCGTTCTATGAACTGGCAACATTCAGCCACCACGGCCGCAACCTGGGGACTACTCCTTAAAAGAGACATCATCCCAACTTGGGGTCTTATGGTACCAGGTGACAAGATCACAAGCACATATGACCTTCTGGAGTAGATGTTGTATCTCTAGTGCGTTTTGTCAAGGCTAAAGACCTTCATGCAAATGATGTGACTGGGAGTATGACCCATATATGGAGATTAAGCTTGGAAACTAAAGGTGCAACAACCATCACTTTGAGAAGAACACTAACCCTGAGTGGAACCATGTTTTTTTCCTTCCTGAAGGAACGCATCTTGTCCTGCGATATCGAGGTCATTGTTAAAGGCAAGGACTTTACTAATGACAATATCATTGGGAGAGTTGTGGTTGACCTGGATGAACTTCCAAAGAGAAGAGCGACGCAAGCCCGCTACAACCGCGCCATTTATTAATTCTAGTATCCAAGCAAATTTTTTTGGGCATTTCTATAAAAACTACATATGAATGTGATTAGACATATGCAATGCTAACCTTTTTTCCTTTAGAAAATGTGAAGTACATAATTGTAAAAACATGAAAAGGTGCTAAAGATGTAGGCCACATTCGGATTTTCTTAGAGTGATATATTTCTTAACACAAACTTGAAAGTTGTAGATCTCTTTTCAAATCTTTTGATTTAATTGTATCTCTATGGTACATCCTTCAATTATAGCCGAGATCGCAAACGACGGATTACTACAAGCACTGCAATTAAATGGGGCGAACGGTGCCTCATTCACATTTTCTAAGGGATGTGCCATGGGGTGATGGATATAGCATGCTTCCTGTGTGGTGATACGTCTCCAACGTATCTATAATTTTTGAAGTATTCATGTTATATTAACATCAATTATATTATTTTGGTGCACTTTTTTAAGGACTTTGCTAAGGGACTGGGGACTAGGGCTTTTCGAGGCTTGTATATTGGGTTGTTAGAGTCCGAAAAAGTGTCAAAGGGATGAAATAAAAGCAACAATGTGCTAGGAACACATAGGACTAAAGTCTCTTCGTAGGAAGTCAGGGAAACTAAGATAGTTTCCTATGGATAATATTTCTCTTTTCTTGGCTACAAATGTTGCACCTTCCTGTTTTGGTGCACCTTGAAATTATAAAAGTGCACCTTCCTGTTTTGGTGCACTTTTATATTATTTTTCTAGACTAACTTACTAATTTAGTGCCCATTGAGAGTTGCTGTTTTCTGCATGTTTTTTGTAGAAAAACAATATCTAGGAAGGTCAAAATACACCGATGATTTATTAGGATTTTTTATGGAATATTTATAATTTTGGGAGAAGGAATCAACACAGGAAGGTGCCCGAGGCCCCACACGGCCAGGGGCGTGCCATTGGCCAGGGTGGCTACTCCTTAAGTTTGTTGCAGTTGTTCTTTCGCAATAAGACATCTAGTTTATGGAATAAATCCCCTCAAAATTGCAGTCATATCGGAGTTACAGATCTCCAGATATGTAAGAAACGGTGTTTGGCTAGAAAACGGTATCGAAAAACAGAGAGACAGTGAGAAGGGATCCAATCTCGGAGGGGGTCTCACCCCTTCGAGAGCCATGGTGGACAAGGACAGAGGGGAGAAGCTCTCCCCATCTCGAGGGGGCACGGAGGAATAAGCAGGAGGGAGAGCCTCTCTCCCCTTCTCTCCCGGTGGCGCCGGAGTGCCGCCAGGGAAACCATCATCGCGACGATCATCTTCATCAATGTCGTTGTATTCACCAACATATTCATCACATTCCTCACCTCTTTTTAGCAGTCCACTCTCCCGCAACCCGCTATAATCCCCTACTTGAACATGGTGTTTTGATGCTATGAATTATTATCCAAAGATATGTGTTTTCACTATTGTGTCTAAGTAGATTACTTTCGACATATGGGTCAATTGGTGAATTCCATGATTGGTTTGAGTTGCTTGTGGTTATGTTATTGTCCTTTGCTGCCCATTATATGACCGCGCACGTGGATCGTGCCATAGGGGTTAGTTGTATGTTGACAAGACTATGCATATGGGAACATGAGTGACTGAAACATCGTCGGACCATGGAAATTGATACATACAAGATTGAAGGGGGACCAATATATCTTAATATTATTGTTGGGTTTTACTTAAATGAACTTGTTAGTAGTTGCGGATGCTTGCTAATATTTCCAATCATGAGCGCATAAAATTACATGTAAGAGATATCATG